ATGGATACAGTTTTACTGGAGTTTTAGGGTGCATGATAGTAACTGCTTTGAAATGATGTTGAAATGTGTGATTTAGGCAGTTAGAAACTAGGTTTTTATTGGATGAAGTAGTGTATGAGTTGATATTTGAATGGTTAAGTGTGTTTGTTAAGAGAAATTGATTTGGTTTTGGTGTTGGTTGTTTGTTTGATGATTACAGGCGGATATTGATGAAGCTTGTAAAGCAGAGGATTCTGATTTTCAGCCTATACTCAAGCCTTACCAGTTAGTTGGTGTTAATTTTCTTCTTTTGTTGTATAAGAAGGGGATTGAAGGAGGTAATATGATTTTACTAGTTTGGATCGGTGATAATTTTGTTTCTGATATATCAATTTTATAACTGTTTTTTTTTTCATTTCTTGTAGCCATTTTAGCCGATGAGATGGGTCTTGGAAAAACTATTCAGGTGCATTGTGCTCTGGATTTATATGCACAAGTGGTATTTTTTTTGTTTGTTTATTATATCAGAGATTAATGTTGCTCTCATTGACAGGGAATCACATATTTAACCCTCCTTAATCACTTGCACAATGACCCTGGTCCTCATTTGGTTGTCTGCCCTGCCTCTGTCCTGGAGAACTGGGAGAGAGAGCTCAGAAAGTGGTGTCCATCATTTACTGTACTTCAGTATCACGGGGCTGCGAGAGCAGCCTACTCTAGAGAATTGAATGCTCTGTCAAAAGCTGGGAAGCCGCCACCATTCAATGTTCTTCTTGTGTGTTATTCTTTGTTTGAGCGGCATAGGTACGAATTCGAAGTACTTTTGATGGTATTTACTGTGTGTTTTCGCCTTTCCTATTATTGATAGATGTTGGAATTGTGCAGTGAACAACAGAAAGATGACCGGAAGGTATTGAAACGGTGGCGATGGAGCTGTGTTTTGATGGATGAAGCCCATGCTTTAAAGGATAAGAACAGTTATAGGTGGAAAAACTTGATGTCTGTTGCCAGAAACGCTAACCAGCGTCTGATGCTTACAGGAACGCCTCTACAAAATGATTTGCATGTACGGTTGGTTTCTGTTCATTTGTTAAGATCTAATTGATCGTCATGTTTTGATCCAATGCTTACGCTGTGAATATGTTAATCTATGCAGGAACTATGGTCGCTGCTGGAGTTCATGTTGCCTGATATATTTACTACAGAAAATGTTGACTTGAAGAAGCTGTTGAATGCTGAAGATACCGAGTTGATTACTCGCATGAAATCTATTCTTGGTCCTTTCATCTTGAGGCGTTTGAAATCTGATGTCATGCAGCAACTTGTTCCAAAGATACAGCGTGTATGTATTAGTCTCCATGTTCGGTTAGAGGATATTATTTTACTTCAAGTTGTGATTCTCTCATCAATCCTATGCAGGTTGAGTATGTCCATATGGAGAGAAAACAGGAAGATACATATAAAGAAGCCATAGAGGAATATCGTGCCGCTTCTCAAGCACGGGTTTTGAAGCTATCATCAAAATCCTTGAATTCCTTAGCCAAGGCACTTCCAAAGCGTCAGATTTCAAACTATTTTACTCAATTTCGGAAGGTAATAGCTCTCATCTTAGTTCTTAGTTCTGTTTGGTTGAGCGTTTTTCTCATGGTGTATAGTATATCAACTTTACTGGTACAGATTGCAAACCACCCATTGTTAATTAGGAGAATATACAGCGATGAAGATGTCATTCGAATCGCGAGAAAATTACACCCAATTGGTGCATTTGGATTTGAGTGCTCCTTGGAAAGAGTCATCGAAGAAGTAAAGAGTTACAATGATTTTCGTATACACCAGGTAAGTTTCTCTCATAAACAAACATGTTAACACAATTCAACAAGCTTAACTTGTTTTCTTTCTATAGCTTTTGTTCCAATATGGAGTCAACGATACCAAAGGAACTCTCTCAGACAAACATGTTATGCTCTCAGCAAAATGTCGGGTAAGTAATTATGTCTTCTTCTCCATTTCATGTCTTCTTAGTACAGCCACCTAACTGTTTCGTTTATGTATGCAGACATTAGCTGAGCTTCTTCCTTCAATGAAGAAATCAGGCAATCGTGTTCTAATATTCAGTCAATGGACATCGATGCTCGATATCTTAGAATGGACACTCGATGTTATTGGCGTTACATACCGAAGACTTGATGGCAGGTAATAGAAAGAACACTAAAATGTCATGTTTTTTTGACGACTCTGCACAATAGAAGAAGCTGAATGTTGTTTTTTTTTTTTTTTGGTTCATGCAGTACTCAAGTCACAGATAGACAAACTATTGTCGACACGTTCAACAACGATAAGTCGATATTTGCTTGTCTGTTGTCAACTCGAGCAGGCGGACAAGGTCTGAATTTAACAGGAGCAGATACAGTGATTATTCATGATATGGATTTTAATCCACAGATTGATCGGCAAGCTGAAGATCGATGCCATCGTATCGGTCAAACCAAACCAGTCACTATCTTCAGGTTTGATCTTTAAATCCTACAGCTAGTTGAATAAAAATATATTTACATAACCATATCCTTTTGGTAACATTTGGTTTAGTTTTGATTTTCATAATTGGAATGTATACGTGTTTTGGTTTGGCTTTAGGTTTAAGGATTTTGGTTAAGTTTCGTTTATAAACTTTTAACTAATAGTTAGTATTACATTCATAGTTCTTTTAATTCGTTGATTAGTTTGGTTACATTGGTTTTAGTTGTTTGGTGTGAAGTGAAACCGGGATTGGATTTTAGTAAAATTTTGGTTTGTTTTCGGTTTAGGAATTTTGATCCGGTTCGGTTAAGTCAATTGTGTATTTCATCTTGCTCTAATAACTTGTGGCAATGTTGGTGGTACAGACTGGTAACAAAATCGACGGTTGATGAGAACATCTACGAGATAGCGAAGAGGAAACTTGTACTTGATGCGGCGGTTCTAGAGTCAGGAGTTCACGTAGATGACGACGGAGACACGCCTGAGAAAACCATGGGAGAGATTCTCGCTTCTCTTCTCATGGCGTAACAGTTCCTCTCTGTTGTTTTTGTTTTGAGGTAAAAAAAAAAATAGCCAAGAAACGAAATTTTAAGTGTTATCGGAAAGAAACATGTGTAACACTAGTAGTAGCTTACTAGATATATCGCTATAGTTTTTTTTTTCCTTGGGTCAAAGTGATATATCTGGCTGGATAGTTACATTTCTTCTACGCATGTAAAACTGAAACCCAAACATTCTCAGTCTAATGAACGTTGGATGAACATTTCATGTTTGGAAGACAAGATTATGAGTAAATTTTGCGTTACGTTTTCAAAAACGTAAATGTAACAGCCAGCGCTTTTCTTTTACCATCAACCCAGTTCTATATATTAAATTAAGTTGACCAATAAAACTGTTATTCCCAAAGAAGTAATTTATCGACTGCTTATGATTCATATAAAGAAATCAATAGTTTTGTGTATGTGCTTCTTTAATTATAAAACTAGGTTAGGACCCGCGTCTAATGCGGAATAAATATGTTATATACGTTACTTTTACGTATTATATATTATTTACATATTATAAAATAATAAATATACATTGATGATAAAAAATTCAGCAACTATTACGTATATAATTAAATTGGTGTATACATATAAATATGTTTTTAAAAATTTAAACAGATTTTTTATGTTGTATGATACAATTAGGTTTATTTAAGGAAACAATGAAAAACATTAATAAGTCATTTATGATTAGTTTAATAAAAAACTTATTATATATTTAAATGGACCAACATATTTTCCTAAGGATTCTAATGACACGTGGCTACAAAAAAATGTTGTAATGTTTCTCCTTTAATATATAGGGGATGCTTTAGATTTCACAAAACTAATTTTGAATTAAAAAGGTTAATTCCTTGGAATCTTCATTCAGCTTTAGCAAATTCTGATAGTCCATTAAAACCGTCCAACTCCGAGGGAACTGGGAAACTAAGCCCATTCCGGAACTTGGATGAAATATATGAAAACCATACAAGTAAAGGAAATTGTGTACAACTATAAAAGTCACACGACTAAAGAGAATATTAAGCCACTTTTTGTCTGCCACTTCCCCATGTGAAAATAGTACACTTCTTTCTTTTTTTCAGCTAATTTCTATTTTTCACATAAATATTTATTTATTTTGGAACAAGTAATCTCGGCTTAGCGTTCGTATAACTACTAATAATGGTTGTTGCAAAATAAAATTACTGATAGTGGCAAAAGTATGGTGTATTACTAAGTTACTGAGTTTCAACTGCATTTTTCCTGAAAAATAGTGTCTAAAATACAACTTCTTTGTGGAACGATAATAAATCCCTCCTTTTACTTTCACTTGGTGTACTTGCTTTTTCACGTGGCCACTATCGTATTGGGTGGGCTCACATTATCTGACTAACTCAATTATAAATTTATTTTATAAGCTTTTTCCGGTTTATAAAATTTGAAATGAAATTATAACACCCGAGAAATTTATATTAAAATCTCTCAAATAAAAATTTCTGATGTCATGCTTTTTCAATTTTATTAAATATTAATATAATTTAGAAAACAAATCAACAAACTCTTATTAATGGTAGTCTAAATTCTACTTGCCTGTTATGTCACTTCCAGTGAAGACCAAATAACATCTACACGGTGTGGGTAAAGCAAACAAATGGACCAAATAAATGTGAAAAAAGCAGAAAAAATAAAGAGAAAATCGACAAAACGTCGTCACACCACTGTGGCAACAATCAATGAGGAATATCGAATGTGATAATGGTTCAAAAGATATACCTTTCATTATGCTTTTTTGAAAAAGATTATTCAAAAATGTCTACTAAATACTTAAAAAACTCGATTGCGTAATATAATAATCAATATTCTCGATCATTCTTTTTTTTTGGGGTCAAATTCTCGATCGTTCTTATACCCTCTTTATAGTCCAGTCCCTATATATAGTGCTACCTTCCTCATTAGTTCCCTACACATTTAACATTTGTTTCCTTCAACTCTCTCTCTCACACTCTCTGAAATTTTCTTCATCTCTCTCAAAATGAAGCTTTCTATCCGTGTGATATCAGCTGTTCTCCTTATGTTCATGATTTTCGTCGCCACAGGTTCATTATTTACTCCCATAACTTAATATCTAGCTATGCAAATATGTAATGTTTACACAAAATATAACATTCATATATATATATATATATATATATATATGGATCTATATATTATATATTCATAATTTTAACGATTGTTCTAGTGACTGGATATAGAAAAAGTTGATTTTTATCGCTTTTCCTTCCTAGAATTGGTTATGATGGCATAGTGAAACATCGTTTGAAACCTAAATCTTTTAAGTTAATATATAAGCAGAAGTTTCCATTATTTTTTAAAATTGATAATTTTTATATTCTTGCCTGTGGCTTCGAAAATGGCAGGCCAACACTGGATTTCATTATTTTTTAAAAATTGAGAATTATTATATTCAATTTTTATATGGCCTTTGGCTGGATTGTTTAGCTAAAATATTCATTCGTCTTCCATACACTTTGAACGTATCATGCATGAGAAGCTATCTGGTCTAAAAAAAGTGTTTTCGTGTGTGTTAGGGATGGGTCCGGTCACAGTGGAGGCACGCACGTGTGAGTCAAGGAGCCATAAGTTCAAAGGTCCATGTGTGAGCAGACACAACTGCGCAAACGTGTGCCACAACGAAGGTTTTCCTGGAGGTAAATGCCGTGGGTTCCGTCGTCGTTGCTACTGCACCAGACATTGCTGATCCTCCCATCAATCGATTCTCATAACTCGAAATCTTCAATCCATCGTCTCGTGTTTGTTTCTTTCTATCTAATATTTTGTACAGTACCATGTCGTACTGTACATGTGTGTGTGTTCAATGTGTTCACGAATAAGTCTTTTTGTGTGTTTTGGTTCTAATGTAATGTTAAATTCTTATATTTTCAATTTTCTCCAGGATCTAATGTTTTTTTTGTGGGAAGAATTCAAGAATAATGTTTGAAAATATTTGGTGGATTTTAATATCTCACTTATCATATTGGAAGATTTTAATGTTACTCTAGCGACTGATGAACACAATAGGTTTCTATAGAGAATCCGTGATCAATAGGGTTTGTACTCATCCAGGGGTGGGCACAATTATTTGTTACTCGGCTTGTACTCGCTACTTGATTCGTACTTGGCTCTTAAAATCGAGTACTCATTTTGTCCAAGTCGAGTATCAAGTCGTTTGTTTCAATTACTTGCAAGTACAAGACAAGTACCAAATACTAAAATAAAAATAACTACTTGGCGTTGTTGGCTTGTTACTCGTGATTTATTAATTGATTTATTACCCATTTTTTTATTTTTAGACAAACAAATCTCTAAATTATAATCAAATTACTTGTTTATAAAAAAAAATAAATTAAAAGTGATCTATTATAGAAATATTTTAAAGTTTTCTTTTAATTTTATATTTATCATATATCGATTTAAAAACATATGAAAAGTAAATAGATATTCTTTATTAAAAATTATTTAGATTATAATTATAACTAACTAAATGTTTTTAAATTCATATACAAGATTTAAGTAGCAAACGTTAACAAACTTTTATTAAATAATTTATAAATAATTATATAATCATTTATAAATTAGTTGAGATGTAACAAGTAGTAAAACGGAGTAAATACTTGCAAGTATACCATTTTTTAGCAAGTACTTGAAAGTGCAAGTACTCGTTTTTAATAAACCAAGTACAAGTCCAAAATTTTATTACTCGAACAAGCCAAGCCAAGTACCAAGTAAGCCAAAAATGGCAAGTACTTGGCTTGTGCCCACCCCTACTCATCCTATTATTTTTTTCACATTGTTTTAAAATTACCGAAAGAAAAACCATATAGGTCTTAGAATATTACAAATACAAAAAAACTTGAGATTAAGGAAATCAAACCAAAGTTGAAAGAACTTCAAAAGATTGCAAGAAAGACTAATAAACGATGTCAGCATACAACAATCAGATAGGATGGTGGAGAGGGCAGTTTACCACCAACAGGCTCCTTCCACCAGTTATGTCTTCTTCAACCATTATCAAAGTATTTCGATATTCCATGTTGACTTTTGTCACAGTGGTGTTGACTAATGCAAGAAAACCAACAAGCTATTAATAATGATTCTAAAATCTCTATGCATGTCATTAGTCATGCCACGTCCAATGACAACCACATTTTCATTTATCACAGTGTTGGTAAAGCAAATCGATGGGACCAGATTATAAACACAAAGAGAATGTGAAAAAAGCAAGAAAAGGAGAAAATCGACAAAACGTTTTAACCACCGTAGCAAAAGTCAATTGTGAGTATCGAAATGTGATAATGGTTTCAAAAAGAATATACCTCTCACTATGCTTTAAAAAAAAGAAAATTCAAAAATATAAGTTAAATATATAAAAACTCGATTACTTAATATAATAGTAATCAATATTCTCGGTCATTCTTATAGTCACTTTATATAGTGTCACCTTCCTCATTAGCTCTCTTCACACTTAAACATTTGTTTCCGTTGATAGTTTCTTCCTCTTTCTCAACATGAAGCTTTCTATGCGTTTGATCTCAGTTGTTCTCCTCATGTTCATGATATTAGTTGCTTCAGGTTCATTACTCTCATAACTTAATATATAACTATGTACGTATGCATGCAAATATGTAACCATTTACACATAACATATTTTATACAGATATGGATCTACATATATTAGAAAACAATTGGTTTTTTTTTTGGTAAAATTAGAAGAAAAAAAACAATTGTTGCATGTAACCATTTACACATAACATATTTTGTACAGATATGGATCTACATATATTAGAAAAAAATTGTTGCATGTAACCATTTACACATAACATATTTTGTACAGATATGGATCTACATATATTAGAAAAAAATTGTTCTAATAATGCATTAATATCAATTTTTTTCTAATATATGTAGATTCATATTTGTTTAAAATATGTTGTGTAAATGGTTACATATTTGCATGCATATGCATATAGAAAAGTTGGTTTCTATTACGTTTCCTTCTGAAAACTGATTATATGCATAGTAAAGTGAACTATTGATTGTCAACCGCATTAAAAAAAAAAAAAAAACATAAAGCATATGATCTTCAGATCTTTTTTACAAATTGATATTTTTTACTAAATTACATAGCCTCTAAAATTTTAGGACTGACTCTGTAATCCTTCCCACATGTTTGCAGTAGGCTATGGCCTATGGGCTTTGGTTGTATTGTTTAGCAAAAATACTCGTTCTTTCATAAACTTTGAAGATGAATAAAGCACCATGCATGCATGAGAATATGAAACTAAGCTATGGTCTAAAAAAGTGCTTTCGTGTGTGTTAATTTTCGTCTAGGGATGGGTCTATGTGTGAGCAGACACAACACAACTGCGCCAACGTGTGCCACCACATCGAAGGTTTTTCCGGAGGTAAATGCCGTGGGTTCCGTTGTCTTTACTACTGCACCGGACATTGCTGATCCTGTGATCCATCTCTATCAATATTTTTTTTTGTAAAATCATCTCAATCGATCTTCATCATCACTCAAACTCTTCTATCCATCTTCTCGTGTTTGTTTCTTTCTATCTAATGTTCCGTACAGTACCAAGTCGCACCGTACATGCGTGTGTGTTTGATGTGTTCTCGAATAAGTCTTTGGTTTGTGTGTTTTTGGTTTTATTGTAATACTGAATTCTAATAATTTTTAAAGAACATCAAGAAGCGTCTACAGAGTTACATAATTACGTTAATGCAACGATTTCGATGAAATAGGGTTATTAAGACTATAGCATATATGACATCGTAGTTGATTGATTATAAACAATTCTAAATGTTTATGCTCTTATGTTTAGGGGTGGGCACGGATCGGATATCCGGGTTTTTTAAGGTATTTATGATTTGCTTCGAATGTTACGGATATCTAATTTTGGTATTTGCTTTGCTTCGAAAAAATACGGATATCCGGAAAAACGGATATCCGGAAAATAAATAGATATTTGCGGATATTTACGAATATTTACGGATATCTCATCCATTTTGATTAATACAAATAATCTTAAGATTTTGATACAAATTTGCTTTGTAAAAATAGTTTTTTGCATGATATATAAAATAAAACTTAAAAGAACTAGTGAATTTATATATTTTGTAATTTTTTTAAGCTTAAGTTACAATTATAATAACACAAAATTTAAGAAAAAAAATGTAATTGTCATAATTTTCTTTCTTTCTTTTTATGTAATACTTTTATATAAGTAATAAATTGAATAGAATTGTTCAAAATCATATGCTAGAATAATAATTATATTATTTTATATATTTAAAATGTTAAATATAATCAAGAGATACATATATTTATATATTTACGGATCGGATCGGATATCCGCTTCCCAAAATTTTACTATTTGTGATTTGCTTCGATTTTAACGGATATTGAATTTTAGTATTTGCTTTGATTCGAAAGTTTACGGATATCCGGAATTTTCGGATCGAATCGAAACGAATAACGAATCGAATCAAATATAACGGATAAAATGCCCAGCCNCATATATTTATATATTTACGGATCGGATCGGATATCCGCTTCCCAAAATTTTACTATTTGTGATTTGCTTCGATTTTAACGGATATTGAATTTTAGTATTTGCTTTGATTCGAAAGTTTACGGATATCCGGAATTTTCGGATCGAATCGAAACGAATAACGAATCGAATCAAATATAACGGATAAAATGCCCAGCCCTACTTATGTTCATAGATGTTGGATATATTATAAGTTTATAACTGTGAATATAATTACTTGGATGTTGGATCACATATGAAACATTTGGTCTGACGCAGTTTATATGACTCTTCTTTACAAGAGTCCTCAGAACATTACACTTTACCATTTTACCAATAAAAAAAAAAAACATTACGATTTGAATACGAGTGATTTTCACTACAAGAAAACATATTATTTTTTCTACCAAAATTGAACAAATTTGTCTACGAAATTTATATGTACGTGATTTCGTCGAGATATCAAACTGTTCTTTTTGGAAAATACTCAAGAATGTTCGAAACTCCTTGGTGGATTCTAACATCCCATTGACCATAATAGAAGGTTTAAATTAATGTTACAAAATGTTTTACACAAGATAAAACGAAGCTATATTGTCGGGTTTAATTAATTTGATTATTTAGTTGATTGGTCAGCGTTTAGTCACGAATGTCTTTTTTTTTTTTTTAATACTAAATAATTATGCATTATAAACTATGAAAAATATTAAATAGATGATATTACAACCGACAATCTACATAATTCGCGAAACCCTCTAAATGTAAAAAGAACATAATCTGAAATCTAGTGTAAATTTTTTTAAACTTTAACCATTAAAATACGGTGTTTCCAAGTCACGAATGTCCTCATTCGTGTTCGTGATTGTGGACTTAAACTATTTATTTCCGATACTATTAGGTTCACGTTTTTTTCTATTTTTATGAGGACTTAAACTATTTATTTCCGATAGTATTAGGTTCACGTTTTTTTCTATTTTTATGAGGACTTAAACTATTTATTTCCGATACTACAATAAAAATATGTTACCAACAAAAATATATTCGCCCCCTTGATATATAGTGCCATCTTCTTCTCAGGGCCGGATTTGAACACAGCCGATCGAAACATTCGCCTTGGCCCCCAAAATTTTTAGAAAAATTTAACATAGGAATAAGCCCCTAAACATTGACCTTGGCCCCCAAAATTTTTAGAGTTCTTAAGAAATGTTTCAAGCCCCCAAAATCTCAGCTCCGGCCCTGCTTCTTCTCCTTCATTTTCTTAATTCTCATTAAAGCATTTGTATCTTTATCTCTCTAATTAAAAATGATGCTCTCTTTGCGTTTGGTCTCAAGCCATTCTCCTCTCCTTCTGCTCCTCCTTACCTCAGGTTCATAATACATCTCTCTGCTTTAGTTCAAAGTTGTCATAATATCTAAAATCTAACATTTCATACATATACACACACATGTGAACATGTACAACAAAATCTATGGTCATAATAACAAAATCTATGCATGTTTTTGATTTAGACCCAAAGAAAAGAGAGAATGTTTGATGTCAAAAAAAAAGAAAAGAGAGAATGTTTTAGATATAATTTGATGAATAAATTTTGATGAATAAATTTTGTGAATAAATTAGATATAATTTTATGTTTTCTAAGAGCTTTACGTCAATATGCATTGAGGTTTTAATTTTTGTTGTAACAAGTAACTTGAATGAGATTTAAATATGTCTCTGCTATATCCCAAGCCTCTTGGCACCACACTCTGAGCAGAATTTTGAGGTCTCTCTCAGGTACTGTGATCCACATTGGTCACAGAATTTCGCAGGACCAGTTGCCTATAGAAAAAAAGAAGATAAAGATATGATGATTCTGAAATTATCCAAACAATAATTTTGAGTTAGTGTTTTGGAAGATTGTACCATGACAATGCCTCCGGTGAGAGGCTGCAAGCAAGCCATATGCTGTGAAATAGATGGTGACTGGTGTTGGGCTTGAGACAGTTCAGGGTCGCATTGATGGTTTTGACCCGGAAAATGTGCAGCTGCGTGTTGACTTTGGTAAATAGATTGATGTTGATGGTGGTGGTGACCCTGGTGAATAGGTTGGTGAAACTGATGAGAAGGAGAAGTGTGTTGTTGTTGTTGTTGTTGACTTTGATCCTGTAATTATCATGATAAATCAGATGAGCTCAAGATCATTGCTGTAAGAATATTTGGAAGGAGTATACACTTACTTCACTAACAGAGCGAAACCCTTGTGATGAATCCAAACCTGGAAATGTCTGCTGAACAATGAAAACAAAACAATTACAATGTCACTTTTTTTTCTTTTTAACTCATAAAAACGTGTGTTGATTGATCTTACAGGTAAGGCAAGGATGCTGCAGGCAGAGCTTTGAGCACGCCTATGCTTGTGTCGAGGGCAATAGAATTTATAATCTCTAGGAGAGACAGCTACTTCATTACGGCCTGTTAACCGCTTAAACCTGTAGTAACAACAATATCCAGTTATATATAGTTGAGTAGATCATTCACATACAATTGAACAATAGTATAAACTGATGATCCAACCATTCAGCATCTTCAATAGGTATACCATCCGGTTTTTCAACGATATCCAAACCATTAACCACCACAAACCGAACTCGTTTCTCTCCTCCATGTGTTACCAATTCTGGAAACCTTGTCCTTGTTTCAAGTGATGTTGCAAGTTCTCTTCTTTTGTACATGCAAGTACCTATAAATGAATAAAGACAATCACAAACAAACCCTCAAAATAATCAAAAAGAGTAGGCTTTGGTTTCGGTATATTCGGTTATTTTGGTTCGGGTATTTTGGTTTGGCTTTATTCGGTTCGCCACAATCCCACCGAAGTGAACCAAAAAAAATTTGGTTTTTAATTTTATTTCCAAAAATAACCAATTAATAGCTCAAATCTGGTTATTTGCGGTTAATTTGGTTCGGTTATTTTAATTTTATAAAAATAAAAAACCGAACTGTTAACCTAAAGCCGAATCATTTTTCAAAAACCCAACCGAACTCAAACCAAAACCGAACCGAAGACCGAAAATTGTGGTTCGGACAAAATCCACAGGCCTAATAAATGAGGATAAAAATACCTTTCTTAGGAAACTTCTTGGTTAGTTTTCTATACAAGCCACCAGCTGCTTCAAGAGCAACCCCAAGACTCTTCTCCCTTATACCACTCAATGAAGCAACTCTCAAATTTGCTTCACCGACCAAAGTCTCGTATAAATTTGCAATATACATCAACGGCAATGCAAGACTCGGGTCACCTTCATACCGTGTATCATCTGACTTCCTCTTGCCTTTAATACTACTACTTGAATCAGTCTCATGATCACTTTTGTTCTCACTGACTTCAACCACATGTTGGCTTATAAAGTAATCAATGATGATTTGGAGAAACCTCCCTCGTGCTGTTTCAATTGGTGAAACATCTGAGGAGAAAAAAAAAACAAATAAAGATAATGAATCAAGAAGCTTCTCACTAGTCAAAAGATTGAGATGATTTTTTTGTTACCACCTTCAATGGTTAACATATTGTAAGAAGTTCCAGAAGGTTCCTTGTTATCCATGTTAGATCCATCTTCTTCAACTCCGTCGTTGTGGATTTGCAGAGCGTTTGTGTATGATTCGTGCATACAGTTCTGTAAAGAGATAAAAGCTAAAGTATTTATTGCTCACAACTTTAGTTCATTTAGCTAAAGCTATTTATAAACCCCAGAACTGAGAGAAATGATATGCACACAGTCCTGAAACAAGAGCTAACGAGCATGATTATTGGGGGTTCTTAAGGTGGGATTCTTAGCTTAATATAAGAACCAGCTCTTTAACTTTAATTCTTAGTTTTTCTTAGTTAAAATTTCTTAGTTAAAGTTAAGAAACGGTTCTAGTATTATGCTAAGAACTCCTAACAATTATGGCCTAAGCCAATTCTCAGGGCCAAATTTCTAAAAATCAGTCTAGGCAATGGCTATGCTTCCAACTAGGCAGCAAATAAGGTCTAAACAAAAAAAAATTTCTTGAACTTGTTTTTTTTTTTTGCAAATCGGTCTAAGCGCTCGCCTAATCAATAATTCTCTATAAAGAGCACAATGTTCTAAAAAGGTTTAGGCAAAATTAGGATCTTACTGAAACGATTTTTTCAAACCGATTTTTAAAAGACTCTAAGCGTTCAAAAAACAGTCTAAGCACTCTTCTAAACATTAATCCTCTATAAAACGTCTAACAACCGCCTAGCGATTTCTTGGACATGAAGGCGCTAAAACTACCTAACGCCTAGCCATTTCTTGAAAACACAAAAGAAAGCTTTCAGACAAAACATGTGAAACCCACAAACATCAATTCATTTCTTACAAAACTAATTTGAGCTAAATATTACAGATAAACCCTAAAAAGATGTGAAATTTGTACACACAGCGGAAGAAGAATGGCCGTCGTTGTCCAAGCTATCGCCGTCACGAACAACGGCGTCTCCCATGGCGTCAATATCTCTAGGAGTACCATCAACAGAGTTGAGATCGTGTAGAGAGCTACCTATGTAAGAATCAGCTGATCCCAAATTGTAATGCTGCACTTGAACCCTAGCTCCCATCTCAAAAACAATCGAAAACCCTAAATTGGTAGCAAACACATAGAAAAAATTCGATTTTCGTAAGAATCAACCATTTTTCAGAAGTTGTGGATTCATCTAGGAATTGGATCGTCATGGCTTTTGAGTTTTACTCAGATCGATATGGTTGGAGATTTATGTGAGAGTGTGATTAACGGCTATACAAGCCGTGAAGAGAGAGAGAAACCGAACCTGAAATTATCGTATGATGAGAGAGAGAAGCCGAACCTGGATCCAGACTCCCACACCTCTTACCGAGCCAGTCAGTTTCGGAAACTCTCACAAGGCATCTGCCCGAAAGTAATAAGGGACTTATTATATATTAAAGATTTTTTTAATTCGTAGATAAACTAAGTATAATAAAATAATAACTTATGCAATTTTTATTAGAATTTGTATAAATTTATGTTAAAATTAGAATTTTCCCTCTTTATAAAAATTAAAGATCTACAATTTTACTCAAATTATACTTACTCGTGTGCAAATGGTTTGCCCACTAGTCTATTTATAAAATAAAAATATTTATAAATTAATATTTAATAAATTAATAAACATATGTTTTTTCGATTCTGAATTCAATTAACTCAAAATATGAAAATCGATAAAATAATATGATATAATTTTAAAGAATCGATATATATAGCTATATGGTTACATTTTTTTTTTTTTTTTTTTTTTTTTTTTTTTATTATAAATTAAGAAAACATTATAATTCTGAAAATATTAATTTATAAAGTTTTTAGTGTAGTTTTATACTGAGGTTGTTTTTTTTTTTCTTTTTTTTTTTAACACAATTATACTGAGGTTGTTATTAGAATCCTTCCTTGGTAAATGAGTCTGGGAAAATGGTAAATGAGTATGGAAGATATTGAAGAAAAGAGCAGAAGATATCATATGAAAATGGGATGTACTCGTATCATTGGTTATGTTCTTTCTTGCAGTGTTACAATTCAAGAAGGCGTAATAGGAAGAACAAAAACTCAGTGCCAACAAAGAAGATAAAACTCAGTGCCAACAAAGAAGATAAAAGCGACTTAAGCATTTAGCAGAGAAAAGGAGCAGATCTTTTTGTCACACATAATGAATTATCATCATCATCATCATCTTCTCCTAAAGGTTCAAGCCTCTTTTTCTATGAAAATATCTCGTCAGTCTTCTTCTCAATATCTTCATCACCCTCTACTTCTTCTCCTTCCTCAGCCGCGTAAACAACTTCTTCACCTTCTTCATAAGCGTATTCTCCACCTTCTTCATATCCTTCTTCGTAATAGTACTCCCCGTTTACCTCGTCGCCTTCATAACCTTGCTCCTCTTCATTTCCTTCATACACTTGCTCCTCCTCTTCCCCAATCACTTCTTCTCCTTCCACCTGAATCGTTCCTTCTTCTAATTCAGCTTCTTCGTGGATTGGTTTGGGTTCAATGACCACCTCGGTTTCCTCTTCTGTCACGAGTTTGGTGTCCTCTCCACCTTCCTCCTTTGATATCGTTTCTTGAGGTGTCTGGTCCTTGTTGTTGCTGTCACCACCAGATGCAGCTGCTCTTTTTCTCTTGAGAATCTCACTGAAAGGTAATGGAGCTGCAAACGAATCCCCTGATGGCTTATGGGGATGATGATCCTCCAAGCTTTTCCTCTTCCCAAGAGATGTCTCTGTCTTACTCTCCTCTCTTCTGCTGCTTTTGGTTTCTGATCTTCGTTCATCTTCCATTTCTCTTCTTCTTGCCCATGGAGCTCGTAGACCTCTTTCCTGATTATCACTATGGTTTTCCTCTAACCTACCCTTAATTCTATCTCGGAGTCTACCTTGAGGTAACTCGCTACTATCCCTTCCTCTCTCAGTTCTCCTGTCAAAGTGAGCCTCCTCGCCTTTGCTTCTCTCACGAAGCTTAATTCTACCCTGAAGACGGCTGCTGCTAATCGAGCTTTCCCTCGGTGTATTCCTACGAGAGTCTCTGTATCCTCTTTCCATTGAAGAGTCAGGAGCAGCAGCATCATCATGGCTTCCTACTGATACCATACCATTAACTTTCCTCTGCTTAGCCAAACGATATCTCAGATCCGATGCTAGTATGTTCTCTGATCTTTCATCTCCCTCGTAAGTCCTCCTTTCTGAACGATCTCCTCTCTCAGAAGAAACTAGACGGTGGCCCCATGCGTGCCTGTCGCGGAATGTTTCTCCATCTCCATCTCCATCATACTCATTCAAAGAGTTCAGTCTCTCCTGACTTCTCCGTCCATACCCATCTTCAACATGATAATACTCAGAATCTCTAGCCTCGTTATCCACAAGAACATTAAACCCAGGAGACGACTCTCTCAAGGCCTCATCTACATCCTTACCATTGTGAAAAGTATTGCTATCATCAGAACCATGCAACTGAGTTGAATTAAACCCTTTTTTCTGCACAACAGGCTCATATCCCTCCACGCCTCTACTATCCCTTAAGCCAGAAGATACGTCAACATGGGCTTTAACTGCTTTTGGGAGACTAACATCACCCAATTTCTTCTCCCCGGTGTCATTCTCAACAGTCTTTTTAGAAAACCGAGGATCATCACCATCACCATCAGACTTAGCTTCTGCAAGATGCTGCTTTCTATAACCAGCAAGATTCGGCGTGTGCATATATAAACACATATCTCCTTTAGCACACATACCCTTCTGAAAGAAAACACATGGAACCGGCTGCTTCACAGAGCCACCAGGAGGAGCTTCCAAAGACTATTAAGAAACACAAAACGAAGCAAACCATAAGCAAAATTCATTAAAAAAAAACATCTTCAAGCTCATTTATACTGAGAAAAAAAAAAAGAAGCAAAACTCACAGGATGGCGAAAGCCACATTTGGGATTCAAACAGTTCCCACTCAACCAATAATAACAATCCCTTGGATTAACCCTTGCATACTCACTGTGACGATACTCACACTCACCTCCCTGCTCAAAAATCAAGAAACCAAACCCATTAGAGTCCTAAAAACTTGATCACAGCACTAGACCTAAGCTCTATTTTAGTAATTTTTTTTCCAAATCAAGAAGCTCGAAATCACAAGATCTACCACATATCGAAACGAAAACACGAAAATCTGGGTGGGAGGATCTCGAATTCGAAACCCTAACTGAAGCTGGATAAAGATTCTAGGAGAAACGCAATCGAATCAAATACCTTCTTGCAGGTTAAAGGAGAGGCGAGGAAGTAGACGCAGTCGGTGTTCCGTTTCAAGGCTTCTTCTTCGGGAGATGAAGCTGGCTCCGGTTGTTTCGTCTTTGGCTGCTGATGCTGTTGAGGTTGAGGTTGGATCGTAGGGGCAGACATTATTCTAAATTTGTGAAAATCTGTTTCGAGTAGATCGTGAGGTTTCAGATCGAAACGCTAACGGTGGAGATGGCCGATTAGAGAGTCCCGTGGTGGAAGGAGACGGAGGAGAGAGTGGAGCCAGAGAGGAGAAACTGGTTGATGAATATTAATCGGTGTTGACACGTGGTTATGTGTTGTTGGTTGATGCGTTAGCCGGGTTTTTGGAGTGTTGTGAAATAGCGGTGGATGAGGTATTTAAACCGGCCTCAATTGAACCGAGTCTGAACCAAACAGAATTATAAACCGAAGGGTTGATATTTAACTAATTTATTGCGTGATTGTATTAGTCGAGACAAACCGAGGGGACTAGTAATAATTAGTTAGTTTTGAATCTCAAAAATGATATTTAATATGCAGATGCAGAATAATACTGAAAAAAAACTATCAGGTAAAACTGTTTGAAGTGTCTTTTTTTTATTTGATAAAGTTTATAATTTATATAAGTAATAAAATAATAAATTTGATTTTTTTATGTTACTACTAAACAAAAGCTAAAGCAAGATAACATTTTTTTAATAAAGCAAGATCATAACATTGAAGATACGTTGCAAGTTCAGCTTGATTCTCTGTTTTAGCTGCTTGGCCTATCCTCTTATGCTCGCTTCTCCTCTGCTTTCCTCTTGATCGTTAATTACACGTACTTATAAGCAGAATACATGATTAACTAGATCAACTTTGACTACAATTCTTGACTTTTTTTTTCAGGATGCTTACCTCTGTTTTCCTCAACTCAGCTTCAGATTTCGCCTTCCTGTGATTCTCCCATGCTTGTATCCTCTTCATCTCTTCGTGTCTCAACCTGGAGATCACACAAGTCATTTTAGGTTTAACGTTTTTTCAGCAACACTATGACCAAACAACTCAGCCTCTGAGTACCTATCCACGTGCTTAGACTTTTTCGCTTTCTCCCATGCAAAAGCACGAGCTTCAGAAACACTTTTACAAGTCTGGAGATAAGCTTTAGTCTTTACTGAAGTTGAAACATCATATCTTTGTCTTCATCCTCTTGGCTTGTTACTGGAGTCATTTCGGTTCCCATGTCTCTCATCGCTACATGTTGACTTAGATAAACTGCAAGCTAGTACATTATGGAGCTCGAAGATAAACAGAGCATACACAGTTGAATAACACAAAAGACGTGGTTTACAGGAAGAGATTATTTCAACTCCAGAAACAATAACCCAGATCTTGAAAAGTGTAATAAGGAGCTCCACCATAACCCTAATAACAAAACAAAAGGGAGAAAGAAAAGTGTCATAACCCTAAGAGCATCTACAACCTCACTCCATATTTTATTGCAAAATGGAGTGAAGAATAGAGTAATGAAGAAACAAAAATCCCATTACTCCATATTTAGAGTAATTATTTTTTTGTTTCTTCATCACTCCATTTCCCACTCTATTTTGTAATAAATTATGGAGTGTGGTTGAAGATGCTCTAATAACAAAATAAAACGGAGAAAGAAAAGTGCCATGGTCATGAATTCGATTTGTCATTGTCAATTTGTCATGAATTCGATTTGTCATCATAGTAGAATTTTTTAATATAAACTGGTAAATAAGAGAAGCAAGAGATGAATGAAGTGATTTTGAAAATAGACGTGCGCATCATTTTCTTTCTATATAAACAAAAATAATAATCAATTGATTTTGAAAATAGACAATTTCGTATCTTTTTTGTTTCATAAAAAAAAGAAGTCCATCCAAGGAAATGGAATCAACATGATTACTATATTACGACAGCGTATCCAATAAGGATATTTAATCTCTCGTCACTAACCATATTTACTTTCCCTTTTTTTCCCCTTGTATTAATCACTCGTCACTAAACCATCATTAACTTTCCTCTTTAATTTCAAAATCGCGACATGTCTCGTGGCTCAGCCAGCTCGGCTTCCCTCTTTTATCCACACGTGCCACGTGGAGCAGCGTGTCAGTCATCATTCATCAACAACCACCGGCTATCACCGGTCCTCACCCGTTTAATTAGGTTTCAAAAAAATTAAAAGAAAACAAAAAAAAGAATTGATTCAATCGATTTCTTAAAAAAGAAAAGAAAGATCCAATGAGAATCGGCGGTTTGGATGAGATTATGCAATACGCGTCGGAGATAACGACGTCGTCTTCCTCCTCGGCGGTTGAAGCGTTCGATCTCAAGGACGCGTCGTCGTGGTGGTCCGACGTAAACGAGTCTCCGATTTGGCAGGATCGTATCTTCCACGCGCTCGCTCTTCTCTACGGATTCGTCTCCATCGTCGCTCTGGTAACCGTAATAACCGCCTTTCCGAATCGTCGTAACAAACTTTTCTAATTGTTTGAATTTGGTAGATTCAATTAGTGAGAATCCAATTGAGAGTTCCGGAATACGGATGGACGACGCAGAAGGTCTTTCACTTCCTCAATTTCGCCGTGAACGGAGGTTTGGTTGCTGCCTGCGTGATTGCTGTGGTTTTATTGATGATTATATTTGTGTTTATATTTTGGTATGGTTTTGGCAGTTAGGGCTGTGGTGTTTGTGTTCAGGAGAGATGTGCAGTTCATGCAGCCAGAGGTGTGAAGAGACTTCCCTTATTATTGTAGTTTTTAACAATTTTTTTATTTACTGATTTTTTTTTTTTTTTTTTTTTGTGGAGTGCTCAAACTTATGCTCTGATTGTATTGTA